CATAGACGACCAGTACCATCAAAACATGAAACTTCTTCAAATTTTGTCTATGAGAGTAATTTGCCGAAGATGAAACTATAACAGTCATTTCTTCCAAGTCCTAACTTTCTACATTGAAACAAAGTTTTTTTCCAATAGATTATGGATTGAAACCTATATATCAAAACCATTAACAATTCTTAAGATTTTTCCCTAAGAAATCCCTAAATACTTTCGTCCAAATTTATATAATACTCACTTTGTTACAAACCACGGAAATTTCAAACGTTTTTAAAATAGAATAAAGGCAGCGAAGGATTCAAGTTGTTTTTGTGGTATTGAGGAACAAATCTCAAGACATCTACTGATCGATTGCCCAGCATTTCAAGATTATAGAATGAAGAATGAACTAGTTATTTGTGAACTTAACGATTTGATTTCCGATAAAAAATCATATTTAAAGTTTAATTCATTTTGTAAATACATTCTAAACTTTCTACAAAATCTGGATCTCTAATATTTTCATGCGTTGAATAATGTAAATAACTTATGTAAATAAACTTTTCTCCTTGTTTGGCGCAAGTATCCCTTGCGGGATATAGCGCTTTGGAAATAAAATAATTGATAATTAATTAATCAACAACTCACAAACCTAAACTTTATTTTATATAAATAATATTCATACACAAAGCACAAAAATAAACATTTGAATCCATATTGACAAATAATCACAAATACACACTTAGATAAAGAACCCATTGTAATTTTGAATACAGTTAAACCTGTCTATAGCACCCCCTCTTGGGACTCACCAAAATAGGGTGCTATAGAGAGGGGGGGTGCTATAGAAAGGTCACTTTTAATGTAAATCGCATCGTACTACATATTTAAAATCGGGCGTTATAGAGAGGGAGGCGCTATTTAGAGGGGGCGCTATAGACAGGTTTAACTGTATATCAATTTAGAAAAGAAATCGAGTTATTTCAAGTAAAATACACTCATACACAATGCATTTATATTAAATTTCGACAATATTTGGAAAAAAAGCAGGATACAATTCGAATATATAAAATATTTATTTTATTACATATATACATATGAGTTACCAATATGTAAAAATGGAAATATTTACAAATAAAAAATACCCTGAATATATTTACACAATAAATACGAATCTATTGCTATGTATATGCTATATATATAACAAAAATGTAAATATACTTTAGACTAAATTGACCATGGTACCATTGTTGATCCATCGATAGAATCGTCTGCAAAAGAATTCTTAGATAAATAAAGATTGATCCATGTTTCAAGTTTTGGGAACCCCACGACAGCTGAAATCTTCACACCACTTATTCAATTGTTGCTGTATCTGTGGATTTATTTTTATTTGAGTGAATTTTTTTTATCTATTCCTTTGCTATTTCTCGTAAAAAAAATATCAACAAAGAATGGAATGTGTTAAAAGTGTTGAAAGCAATATACCTTTACATATATACAACTAGAAATATCAAATTCTCATTGTTTTCAATTTATTTCAAACTAGATTTAGAGATTTTTTCCCTTTCTTTTTATATATATTTCAATTGATAACAATTTGGAAGTCAACAAGAAAAAATTTCTCTCTAAATTGTTATTTATCTTTTGTATTTGATAGAATTCAAAATATTTTTCTTTCTAGATTGTCGATTTCTTTTGATAAAAAATCCTAAATTGATATTATAATTTTCATCAATAAAATAAATTTCTAACGTATAATGATTAACTCTAATTATTTATAAAAGTAATATGTAAATAGAGAGGAATGAAAATATGTAATAGAAAATCAACATATTAATTTATAGAATACACCTATCCCCCGATTTACACGGTACTTGTTTTACACGTTTTCGCTTTTACACGGTTTTCCAAATATTTTTTGTTTTGTTTTATCGCACTATACTAAATGCTACTGTGATTGAACACATGCGCTGTGTACACATCTCACGAGGAATCCCGAGCTTATGTGCTGACTTGCTGCACACGCACACTGTGTCTGTATTTCTTCGCATAAAAATTTCGCGAAAATTTTTAATTTTCGATTTACACGTTTTTCTCAGGAATGTATCTACCGTGTAAATCGGGGGATAGGTGTATTAAAAACATATTTTGGTCTATTGATACATATATATGCTCATAGACAAAACTTGAAGAAGTTGTACCTTTTATCATGTATATCGGGATTCAGACAATAACTCTGAAATATATTACAGTGGCCTTTATTGAAGACACATTTGAAAATAGAGCAATTCATAAATAAATATTTAATTAAAAAGGCACATATTGGATTAAAATGTCATTTATTTCACCAATATATCAGTTGGCTGAACGCCAACCTTTATCAAGGTAACATATTAATGTGTGTCAACAACAAACTCAGCGTCACATATATAGGTAATTCTGTTGACGTTATGTGGCGCTGAGTTTGTTGTTGACACACATTAAACATGTTATAACACCTTGATAAAGGTTGGCGTTCAGACAAATGAAATATTGGTAAAATTAATGATATTTTGATCCAATATATGTCTTTTTAAATTAATATATATATATAGTCAGGAGGACAGAGTTTCCTGGTACTCCCTCTTATCTGGACTGGACGGTCGGGGAAAACAGTGGCGCCACATAGAAGGTAGAAAACTCAGTTCTCCCCTCTTGTTCTAACTGCTGGGTCGATTTAGCTCATGTACATAGTAACTTTTATTTTATATTTAAAATCTCTCATATAACTCATTAAATAAATATTTAAAGTAATTCGGAAGCCTATTATAATTATTTTTCCAAAATCACTTTATTAGGTACCGCTCAACAAGAGTAAACTAGTTTATGATATTTGCAACAATGAATAATATATGAAGGATATTCAAATATTAAACAAAATGTTAACACGGGATTCAATCCCGGTTCATGACTGTCGGGAATCGAGGGTGTTACCCACTTGTACACCGACTTTTTTTATAATTATTTTTCGGTTCAAAATCGGTTCAAAATTACATTATTAGGTACCGCTCAGCAAGAGAAATCTAGTTCATTATAATTGAAACAGTGAATAATATGTGAAGGTTATTCACATATTAAACAAAATGTTAACGTGGGATTCTATCCCGGTTCATGACTGTCAGGAATCGAGGGTGTTACCCACTCGTCAACCGACTTTTATGTTGTGATTTAATTATTTTTCCAAGTTCCAAATAACTTTATTAAGTGCCACCGCTCAAAAAGAGCAACCTAGATCATCATATTTACTGTGGGGGATGTACAGGATTTGTTCATTTACAATTTATATTGTTGGGTCCTTGGGGATATTGTTCTTGAGAAGCTTTTGTCTGGCTTGTTTGATATTCAAGGTGGGTTTGTTTTTCCTTTTTTTCCACTTTTCGTCGTTCTGGCTTAATTGATGGTAATTATTTTTCTACGTTACAATATATATATATATATATATATGATATATTTTGTATATAGTAAACCATGAATCAATTCCATATTGAACACACAAATGTTTTTAATGTACTATATAGTTTTTGTTTAATCTTTTATTTTTGTCTGAATTGTTTCACAAATTGCCAAATACATTTTTTAAACATGTAAATTCCATGTTAAAAAAGAAAAGCTGAATGATATGTAAATTTACTAAAGTATTTTTTTTTTTTTTTTTAAAGAATGATAAATTGGACGGCCAGTGGTTGTCCAGTGTGTGTGGTCTCGCGCTGATTGCTTATAATAAAGAAGAAGGAAAAAGGCCTAACGACTGCTTAATTGTCATTTCCAGATATTGAAACTTTGGAAAAATTTACAATACGACATATATATATATATATAAGATAATTTATAATTAAAATAAAGGTTATCTTCACCTAAATAACATATTATATATAAATATAATATAAAAATTACATAATTATTATAAAAAATAGAAAAATAAGATGTAAATTATTATTTTTTTTTAAAGGAAAAGTTGCTCGTAGAGAAAAGTTAGAAGTCCTTCAAAAGAAGAGGTCTAAAAAAAAAAAAGTTTTTCAGACGAACCCTAAACAAGGCCTAGAGCTCGAGGCTTCCATTTACACCTTTAACTGGGCAGAAGAAAGATTGCTCTTTGGGGACTTCGCCTCACACCAATAAAAGGAGCAGAAGACTAGGCATTCTTTTATCTCCACACTTCTCCCATGATTGATTCTGAAAGATTTATAAAATTTTCTCATCTCTTCACCCTCTTCCTTTCAATTTTCCAAAATTTCGTCCCACAACCAAAGCATTCTTTTTTTATAGATGTCTATAAACTTGCTCTTAAATATAATATTTATTTGATAGTAAATTTTATATACTTTAATATATCGTCTGTTATCTATATATAAAATACATATAAAATAAGGAATTTTATGGTTATCATTTATTATATATAGATGGTAATAAAAGAATGATATACATTGGTTATATTTGGGTTTAATAATATAATTTTAAAAGCAAAAATAGGTTATTTAAGAAAAAGGCAAAGATGATCACAATTTGTGATAAAGAGTATTTAATATAATTATTGATTTTATAATATCGTATGTATGTGTCTATTCAAATTTATACGTATATGTTTACTTTCTACACTCATGGACAAAACCTAAGAAAGTGGAAAGTCTATGATGTCGACGGTCGTCTGTTTTTTTCTTTTTTTAAATAGACCGACAATTTTGTTCACACTTGGTTATCACGTTTGTCTTCCATGGTGAGTAGAAGTAGGCGACTGCTTTTCACTGTAAGTGCACCACATGTCTACACATGTGAAAAGCATTTTAATTTGCACTTACAAATAGCCCATAGCTCTGTTTGGTTACTTGCACTCGCTGGTGGGGTTGGACTTTTACGAAAATCGGGGGTCATTGGAGCATTTTTTTAAATCAGAAAAAAGTACCCAATGCGAGTTTTGATCCCGGATTGTAGCGGTCGAAAACCAACAGTTTAGACCATCCTTCTACCGACCCCCCCAAAGACGATCCTGCCAGGTTTCGAACCTGGAATCTTCTGATCCGTAGTCAGACTTTCTAATAATTCCATTTCTAAATCAACCTAATGTATTGATAAACTTGACGGCACCTTGCCACCAGAAAATATAAATATCTACAAATTATTATCCTGTCATACAATTTCCTTGTTTGGAAATGGGTGAGCAGTGAGCAGTAATCTCCTGATTATTCTGGAATCTTTAATCTTTGAACTTATACGTCGCATGTAAGACGAGCAAATTCTCTGTAGTTCAGTACTCTGTCATAGTACTGAAAAGTGACGTAACTGTAATAAATACGACTTAGTATTTCCTATAACCTAGATTCAAAATTGTCTAGTTTTACCCATATTTCGATTACCGTTTTTTAAATCCTTATTCCATCGTAGGTAGGAGTTAGCGACTGCCTTTACTATAAGTATACCACATGTCTCAAAATTCAAAACTATTATAGACGCGTACGATTCTTTTTAAAATAAAACAATTTCTACTGTCCTTACTGCAATGGAAAAATTAATGGGAGAGCCTGGCTCATTAGTGGTGAACCCTACCAGCGGTTTAGCCAGTTTTCACCATTGACGAGCCAGGCCGAGCCATTAAGGACAGTAGAAATTATTTTATTTTAAAAAGAATCATACCAATCTATAATAGTTTTGAATTTTAATAACAGATAGCGCGCTAATGTATCTTGTTACCACATGTCTACATTTGTATAAAAGAAGTTCGACGTACAAATATGACAGAATCTGGTTTAGTTACTTGTATTCATTCACGGGGTTAGACTTTTGCAAGAATCGGAGGCCATTGGAGCAATTTTTTATTCAGAAAAAAAGTGCTTAATGCGGGATTCGATTCTAGGTCCTGGCTGGAAATAAACGGTTCAGGCCTATCGTCCACCAATCACAAGTTGCTTATCCTTAAATAATAAAGGCAATGAATTAAGACGAAGTCCATTACTGAAACTATGTTTTCATCTTATAGTTTTTTTTAATTGCCAAAGATAATGTTTATATGTAATTCTACTGTCCTAAAAGCTTATGTCCATAGTTCATCTAAAATACCCACTCGAAAAGTCAAGCATCAGTATCACTATAAAAAGAAGTTCCAAAAATGCAATATAACAGCGGTATGGTAGATTAAACTGGCGAAACCGCTGGGAGGGTTCACCACTAATGAGCCAGGCCCTCCCTTTAATTTTTCCATTGCAGTAAGGGCAGTAGAAATTGATTTATTTTGAAAAGAATATTACGCGTCTAAAATAGTTTTGTAATTTGATAACAGATGCCGCGATAGTGCATCGAAAGATAATGTTGTCGCATTATTGTAATCCTGATTCGGGATTGAGACAATACACTCAGGGACAAAACTTAAGGAAGTTGTACCTTTTAGCATGTATATCGGGATTGAGACAATACACTCAAGTACAAAACTTAAGGAAGTTGTATCTTTTAGATGTACATCGGGATTCAGACAATACACTCATGGACAAAACTTAAGGAAGTTGTACCTTTTAGCATGTATATCGGGATTGAGACAATACCCTCAGGGACAAAACTTAAGGAAGTTGTACCTTTTAGCATGTATATCGAGATTGAGACAATACTTTCAAGGAAAAAATTAAGGAAGTTGTACCTTTCAGCATGTATATCGGGATTGAGACAATACACTCAAGTACAAAACTTAAGGAAGTTGTACCTTTTAGTACGTATATCGGGATTCAGACAATACACTCATAGACAAAAATTGAGGAAGTTGTACCTTTTAGCATGTATATCGAGATTGAGACAATACACTCATGGACAAAATTCAAGGAAGTTGTACCTTTTAGCATGTATATCGGGATTCAGACAATACACTCAAGGACAAAACTTAAGGAAGTTGTACCTTTTAGCATGTATATCGGAATTGAGACAATACACTCATAGACAAAAATTGAGGAAGTTGTACCTTTTAGCATGTATATCGGGATTAAGACAATACACTCAAGTACAAAACTTAAGGAAGTTGTACCTTTTAGCATATATATCGGGATTGAGACAATACACTCAAGGACAAAACTTAAGGAAGTTGTACATTTTAACATGTACATCGGGATTCAGACAATAACTCTGAAAGATATTACAGTGACCTTTATTAAAGACACACGGGATAACCAAATGTAAACAAAATTGCCTCATGTCTCCTTAAAAAAAAAAAAGAAAAAAAAAGAAGCCGACCAGCGACATCCAAGACTTGACACTTCCTTAAGTTTTGTCCATTAGTTTATAATTTTTGTATAATCTTTAAACATCTTTTTTTTTTATATTATTCAATTTATTTTTAAAGGATGCATCGAAAATACAAGATTCATTAATATAAAAATTTGGTTTGAAAAAGAGCAATCCGTAAATAAATCTTTAAATAAAAAGGCATATATTAGATCAAAATATCATTTATTTTACCTATATTTCAATTGGCTGAACGCCAAACTTTATCATGGTATTATAAACATTTCAAAGAACACACTTTAAAATGTTATAATACCTTGATAAAGGTTGGCGTTCAGTCAACTGAAAAATTGGTAAATTAAATTATATTTTGATCCAATATATGCCTTTTTAGAAAAAAAAAATTGTATACTCAAAAACATTTTAAAATGCATTCACAACATGTAGAAAAAATTTGAACATATCTTGTAAAGAAGAACATGAAAAATCTTTTTATCAAAAAGTTATTTTCAAAGAATAAAAAAAAAGAAATCAATAACTTTCAGGTAGACCTTAGCTTCATAAAAATAATACACGAAATAGATTTCAAAATTCTTTACAATTTTCTGCTCTTTTTTTTATCTTTACTCAATCGATTTGAAAGATTCAATAACTTTGAGTTTTCCTCCTTCAACAATTTATACCATCTACCATCTTATAGCAAGTCACAGGAATCACTTCAAACTATCAAAAAGTCGAATCTGTGAAAAAAAAAAACAAACAGAAGACCATTTAGAAAAAATGCTTTTACAATACAATCGGGACAACTAAAAAACTTTGCTTTTTGTAGATATACCTTTCATATTTGTGTGTTCTTTTAACACTTTGTTTTATTTTAAAAAAAGATTTTTTATATATTTAATATTGTGATGTATATCTTGAAAGAAATTCTTGTTTTTTTTTACTATTTCATTTAGAAAATGTATGTTTGAAAAGCATAGAGATTCGGTTTATATTGAAATATCTTTTTTATTTTAAAGAGAGGAAAAGAAATGTAAAAATAAATATTTCAAAATATTTTTTTGTTTTTGAAATTTCTTTCATATAATATTTGTTGAAGTTATACAATATTCTAAAAAATAGTTTTATATAAATTTTTCACCGCAGTAAGGATGGTAATACGACGTTTAATAGGTTTTTACCGCAAATGCTTCTTTTTACAGAACGAAAAATCGTAATTTTATTTATTTTAAGGAGAAATAACGACTATTCCTATCCTTAGGGATGAAGTATGATAGGATGAATTGTGAAGAGTAATGATAAACGGAAAAATAAAAGTATCCAGGAATGGGAATCGAACCCACAGTGTTCCGCTTACCGGGCAGATGCTATGTGCACTAGGCTACCCTGGACGTGACATCTACCCGGTAAGCTGAACACTGTGGGTTTGATTCCCATCACTGGAAACTTTATTTCTCCGTTTATCATTACTCTTCACAATTCATCCTTTCATAATTCATCCCTAAGGTTGGAAATGATCGTTATTTCTCCTTATAATTATTAAAATTACGATTTTTCGTTCTGTAAAAAGAAACATTTGCGGTAAAACTTGTTAAACATCGTTTTATAATCATAGCCGTATTATATTGTATTATAGATTAAAGATAGTAGAAGTTTGTTTCAGATGTAAAATAAACATTCATGTTTCAATGTTTCCATTTTCATTATTATTAAATATTGTCGCGGAGATAAATAAAGCAAGGGCAAATTTGGGAATAATTAATTTATTATAAGGGGTATTTATAGGGAGAGAGAGATAGTACAACTTACCCCAAGTTAAAAGATAATCCTAATGAACGGCGTCAGCCACCGTCCCGTTTTTCTTATTTACAGATCAGCTTCCGAGAACCCCTCATACCTGTGGTCCCCCTCCCCGGGATCCAGGGATGATTGACAGGTATCCCATCTGGATGAAGCTCCTTGACAATATACATAAAAATAGGAAAGCTTGCTCCCCCCTCCCCAATGAGAAAAGATAAACTTTTTGCACAGTTATTTCAAAGCCCATATAAGATTGTATAAGGTTAAATACTGAATAAATATATATATGAATAAATATGATTATATAATGATAAATATAGGAATAAATAGATATAAATAGATAAAAATAATTGATAAATATACAACAACAACAAAAGCCTTTATTGGGGCCACTCGCCCCATACAGGATTCGCCAGTTCACAAGGGATAGGGAGAACACTGTGTGGCCTTTTTCCGGGATATAGTCTTGTGAAATCCAAATATCGCCAACGCTATATACCTATTCTTTGATATTTCATCAATCAGTGCCGGAAATGAAGGACAAAGTTGCCCCGTTTTATCATTTAATTTTCGTCTTTCCTCAGACAGAGCAGCACAGTCAAATAAGTAATGCAACATCTCCGTTGTTATTCCTGATCCACAGAAAGTGCATTTCAGGTCTTCACGCCTCAATAAAATCAAATGGTGTTCTCTGAAAAAAATTGAAAGGGTTCTGAATTGTGCAATTAATCTGATGATAGGAAAAGGGAGTTCAGTTAAGAAGTATTCTTCGGTGGTAAAGGTTGTATATATGTCTCTATAGTGGGAATATAACTTTGATTGGGTTATTCTTGTTAGGTCGTTTTGTATTGTTTGCTCTATCGCAGTTCTTAATATTCCAGGGATAGCATTCCTTAGTGAGTCAGGATCATTACAATAAGTAAGCCACGAGGATCCGTTATTATTAAGTAAATTGCTTAATTGTTTTATAAAACCGATGGGCGCACCTGTAGCACAGGATAATTGCCTCATTCTAGTTAAACAAATTCGAGGCAGTCTATTTGTATCCATACTCAGCAC